CCAAAGATCTTGCTGAATATATTATACTTGCATATTAAGAGTCATAGTATTAAAACTGGGCTTTTCTAGGACATGGGAAGTCTATATTCATAAAATATCTGTTATGAAAATTAGCTGCCTCATAAAAATAAAAATGTGTTTAAGTGTTAGAATGAAGAGTTAGAGATGCTGACCGTGTTTCATAAGGCAAATAATGCTGCTTACTCCTTCCCAAATAGGACATCAGTACTGTTTACCAGATCTTTGCCGATGAGGTGCTTGGTTCAGGCCAGTTTGGCATCGTCTATGGAGGTGAGTGACTGCAGCCTGCTGCATATTATACATACTCCAGAAAATTGTGAAATTTGAAAACCTCTGCTAGCTGTTACGTCTTGTCACAATTTTGTCCAGTGGCTTGTTTCTGCAGGGTTGACTTGCATTCTTTCAGCTAAGCCCTTTTCACTGTAACTGAGTATTCATTCTTCATTTCAACCGCAGACTTTACAAAGTAACAAAGAATCAGGAAATTAGTTCCACAGTAGTCTTACTTTATCTCTTCTTGTAGCATAAAGATGTTTGTGAGGGAAAAATCAATGGCTCAGAGCTTTGTTGGGCGGCGTGTGAGCTTGTTTATTGGAGGTTATGCCCTACTGGATGTCCAACACAAATGGCCCCGTTCATCTGCTGTTGGCATGAATGTTATATCACGTCTGAGGACCTAAGATCTCACTGTGACTTATGATATTGGCAGAGTCATTTAAGCTCACCATGCCTTTGTATCTTCATCTGTTGAATGGAGTTAATAAACCTTTACCTGCATAGTTCACAGGGTTGTTAATTAAACCTAATTGTACATAAAAGTACTTTTATGAGCTATGATCCGAGGTATAAAAGGAAGGTAATGTTAAATCCTAGTCCTCACTTGCTGACACTGTTTAAGTAGTCTCCTCCTCGGCCTTTCTGCCTCCAAGTGTGGTTAAATAACTTTGTGCTGACTCAGTGAACCTAGTAAAATTAATTCATTGATACAGTGTTTCTATCTTGACAGTCTTTGAAGACTAAGAGTAGTTAACTAATAAGGTAGATTATTTTTCAGCCCCCAAGTTCATTCAAATTTCCTGCTGTTTTGAGTAATGAAGCTGTCATTAGGGACAGCTACTATTAAGGGAAAACAATTTACTTCTTAAAATTAAAGGTGAGTGAAGGAGAACAAAATCAGCCAAAGAAAAGAAATATAAGAGTAAATACATATCAGTTTTGGTCTGAGGACAACTTCCTGATAAAGCTTTTATGTTGTAGATGAGCTGACAGTTTGCTCCTTCTTTCTTTTCTATACTTTTTTTTTTTTTTTAAATAGGAAAACACAGAAAGACTGGAAGGGATGTGGCTATTAAAGTAATTGATAAGATGAGATTCCCCACAAAACAGGAAAGCCAACTCCGTAATGAAGTGGCTATTTTACAGGTAAAGAACAAAAAACCAAGTTGCTTTGTATTGGTTTTAATTTTGATTTATGAGTTTTTAAATACAGGTCTGTTTACTGTGCTGATAAGAATAAGGCTTGTTTTCTGTTTTGTTTTCATATTATGCCCTTTTGGCTTAGTAAGAGGTTGGTGGACATCTGCATTAAATCCTTAAGTCTTTTTTTTATTTTTTTTTTTAAAGGAAAAATTAAGTTACAGTAACCTAGGAGTTACGAGAACTGCCATTATGGTAGTAGTTTGTTCAGAACACATTTTCATAAGTAAAATCTTAACAACAAAACTCTTAATTCGTCTCTCCAGAAGCTCAAAACACTTGATAGTTCTGTATCACCACATTTGATTAGGAGATCAGTGCTATACCCGTTCAGTTCTCACAGATGATCTGCTTGATGATTATAGCAATTGCTATAAAAAAAAAAAGTCGCTTAAAAATTGTGGACTTTTTAACAGTAGCATTTGCTATTTTATTAATTCACAACTCCAAAGATTTAATTTTATAATGGTTTAGTCCACTAAGGTGTATTTTTAAAGATATACTGACAATGACTTAACTCCCATAAAATAAATTACTGTCTTCTTATTTTCATGTAACATTTTTACCTCTTTTGGGGGTCATCTAGAAGACTAAAATGTAGCTTTATCTTTATTTTTATGAATATCCTAAATCATTTATAATATGCAAATATCTATTTACTGTGTAGCTTTTGCATAATATTTAAGAAATCATGGTGATATAATAGTTAATGCTGTCAGAGCCCCCATTTGCTTGTGGGTGAAGTTCAAGAAGATAGTCTACTGAACTTAGGCTTCCTTGAAGAAGCAGGTAAGAAATGTATAAACAAAGGATTAATTTTACATGTATTACATTATCAGTTACTAGCAGTAATGTTTGCCTCACTTCTTTTTCAGAGGCGTGATAATCAAAAGATTATGATCAACAAGCTACCTGTGGTCCTTTCAAGTTGCTTCTTCCTATAAAACTACCTTCATACAGAATATTAATAGCATTCAGAGTATATTAGGATATGGTTAGAAATCTTTTTCACATCTAATTTTGGAATCTTGCTCATTGTCCAACTAGTATGCAAAAAAAAAAAAAAACCATTAAGGATATATATTTTTTAAGGTTTTTTTTTTTTTTTAATGTTTATTTACTTTTGAGAGAGACAGAGACAGAGCGTGAGCAGGGGAGGGGCAGAGAGCGAGGGAGACCCAGAATCTGAAGCAGGCTCCAGGCTCTGAGCTGTCAGCACAGAGCCTGACGTGGGACTTGAACTCACGAACAGTGAGATCATGACCTGAGTTGGACACCCAACTGACTGAGCCACCCAGGTGCCCCAAGGATATATTCTTAAGACTTGATTCATCCTTGTCGCTTTGATCACGAACACATCTTTGAATTAAACACTGAAGCTTTTTTTCGTCGTGTTATGAACTGTGGCTCATAATAGCTAAATTTAGGGGTTTCCAGGTAATACACAGTGCAAAAGCTGTATTCTGTCCTTCTGGGTTTTTTCATTGATATTGCCCTATGGGGAATACAGTTAAGTGATTATAGTATGTCTCCAAATATACTTTTTTCATCTTAAATTTAATACCATATTCTTTGTTATAGATTCTGTTCAAATCGTATGTCGTGAATGGCTTACTTTGTGCCAGAAACTAAACTTAATTAACATCACCCAGCAGGAAGAAGACAGGTTCAGAGTGTGAATCTAAGTCTGTCTGCACACCACATGCTCTTTCTTCTCTGCCACATTGGATCTCGTGTGTGTGTGTGTGTGTGTGTGTGTGTGTGTGTGTGTGTGTGTGTAAAATTGTGACTTCAGTTTCTTTGCAATGTGTAAGTTCAGCGAATGTTGAGTG